TCTGACCAACGCCATTTGGTCCCTGTGGCCAACAAACTCGGGAGTGTTGCTGTGATCTCGGCGTAGTGTGGCACGAACTGACTGTACAAATCACAAACGCCTAACACCCGTAACACGTCTTTAGTCTTCTCTGGAACCATTAATTCTTGAATCGCCGTCAGTTTTTCCGGCTCCCGGTCTATTCCTTCAACGTCCACGACGTGACCTAGGAATTTGATCTGTGTCACCCCGAATGTACATTTTTTCGGCTGGCACTTCAGACCGTAAGACAGGAGTCGCTCCAAGACTCTCTGCAAGTGGTTTAGATGTTGACCGGGACTCTCAGAGTATACCACAATATCATCAAAATAGACCAACACAATTTTACCAAATAACCAACGGAAGACTTCACTTACCAAGCAACAGAATGTGGCGGGTGCGTTTTTAAGTCCAAAAGACATTACCCTGAACTGGAATAATCCTCTTTGGGTCCTGAACGCCGTGAGTGGACGTATCTCTGGTGAGAGACCCACCTGCCAATATCCTGATTTCAAATCCATAGTACTGTAAATCTTCGCTCCACCCATTCCTCGGACCATGTCATGGAGATCCGGCATCGGGTGAGCGTCCGACTCCGTCTGCATGTTCAGACGGCGATAGTCAACGCAAAATCTACGTGAACCATCCTTTTTTCTTCACGCGTACCACCGGTGCAGCCCATGGAGATATGCTAGGTTCAACAAAACCCTGTTCCTCCACGTCTCGCACCATTTCGGCAATCACCTCGTTTTTCTCTCGGGAGTACCCGTAAGCGTTTAGAGCGACCGGATTTTGATCCTTGAGACGGATCTGATGCTCTATCACCCAAGTTCTGCCTACTTCTCCGGAGAAGACCTCCGGATATAGGCATAGGACTTCTTTGACCCGCATACCGTACTCTCCTTCGGGTAAACCTGCGGCTGTTAAGTCCACTTCTACGGTGACCGGAGTTCCTGGATTTCTCCAACTCATGAAAACACGTCTTTCTTTCCCCAGGTGGATTATGCAACCACTGTAGTCCCAAGCTACTTGTTGCTCCACGAGGAAATCATGGCCCAGAAAGACATCTCCAATGAGATCGTCTAACACTGCCGCCCTGAAGCATACCTCCAGATCCACTATTCGGGCCCGGAATTCGGAAAACTCCGTAATTTCTCGAGCACGACCGTCCGCCATCCGGACAATCTCCGGTTCTTCGGTAAAACTCCGGCCAAACTTCTTTGCCACCCACGGCTTGACGTATGTCCTCGCCACTTGGGAGTCCAGTAGAGCTACTACTGCCCCGAGTGCAAACTCTAGTTCTATGACCGGTAACGGAACATTCGTTACTTTAGTTTTCCCCGTTGACACCGTTGCAATGGCTGGAGACCCGAACACTCCGGTCCGTAAGACCGAGAAGCGTTCTCTCAACCCAAACTTTGAGTCCGTGTCTGAGTCTCTCCTCTTTTATTTTTCCCGAGAAATAAACTCCTCGGAAAAATCTTCGGATATGACCGGACAAATTAACAACTCCTGTGTTATCTCGTCTTGTTCCACATCACCTGAAATGCTGTCCATGACATTGTTACTGGAAAGATAACTCACCTCGGTGAGATTTTCACATTTGTCCAGAACATTTTCTACCCTTATAGATTTTCCCGACCTGTTGTCCAGCTGGCCGGAACCCGTTTCCATCATCGAACCATTTTCACGAAATGTAGTTCCTCCACCAGAATGTCGTTTTCAATGGTTTTCTACGGGTGATTTCGGTGATTTCCCCGGAGGCTCGACGGTTTTCACCGGACAACTTCTCACTCCGGAGGTTATCTTCGGGTGACCAAAGTTTTTCTCCGGAAGAACTCCGTTCTTACCGGATTTCGTTGGTTTAGAACTCGTCTGGCCCGATTTCTTTGGGCCCTTTCCCGGGTCTCCGGTCCGTAACGCTCCGAAGTTCCGTTTTTCCGGGTCAGTTCTTGTAACTTATGGTTCCTGTACAGGAACGTTACTCACTGTCCGCGCTGAACTCCGTTGCTTACCTCTCTTCAGACGACTCGTGATTTTCCTGCTGATTACTTCCCGGCCGGCCGTTTTGGCATTTTCCGACTCCGACTTTCTTTTTGGACATGAAGCTTGCCAGTGGTCACGACTACCACAAACTCTGCATCCTGCTCCCGAAGATTGTCGTTGCTTCGGATTCGGCACTTGGGATTTCTCAGCACTCTCAGCTTTTCGTTTATCCAACCATTTTAACTATGGTGGTACGCTGGTGCTCACTCCCGCCTTATCCGGTATTACAGCCTTGCTACCATCCAGTACATGGGCAAGCTCTCGTAATTCGCTGAACGATTTTAGTCACCGTATACGTGCATGAATTCTAAATTCATCACGCATGAGTCCAATCACTGTCAATACCACCGCTTCTTCTGTCAGACCAAGGTTTAATCTCCGATACAACTGGTACTTATGTAGGACATACTCCCCCAGTGTTTCGGTCTTGGTCAGAGCGGTGCTCAACAATTCTGATTGCAGACTCGGCTGCAACTCGTCCCCGTTTAACTTCTCCAATAGTTCGGACCTGAACTCTTGCAAAGCAAGTCCAACGCTCTCATGGTTCCCCACCATGTTCCTGCCTGTGCCTTCAGCTGAGGGGCCAAAACGGTCACCCATCTAGCCACGTGAATACCAGTTTCTTCAATTATTGCCTCGGCCTGGAGCAAAAACCTCACTGGGTCTTCCCCCCTCTAACCGGCAAACTCTGGTATCGACGCACGGGTCATATATACAGCTCATTCTGAGGAATCAGTAGGCTGTTAGGGAAATGCACACGTTTTACACCAGAAAAACTACTCCGTAACGCTTCCCCATGATTTATACCGGGCACTTCGCCGGACACTCCGGAAACACTCCAATTTCTCGGGTTTTCCCCGGTCAATCAGCTCCATATGTTCACCCATCGGCTTTCAAAACTCACGCCTCGAGTTTTGACCGGAAGATTTTGACTTTCGTCGGGGCAAATCTGATTTTCTCCGGATATATCGCTAGTGGATGGTTGTTGGGTACTTCCACGGTATGAGCAACTTGCTATTTTGTATATCTACAAACCCAGCGGGTATCACTGATCTTCATTAAGTTTGACCTAATGTTCATTTTTTGTTGCATTTATTTTAACTTTTTATAGGATGAAGGTCGAGAGAATTAAACGTACAATGACTCAATAGCGTTAAAGAAATGTTTTGCATACTGAATATAGGTAGAAAAGTATACCTCTATATTTTTGCACATGTCAACAACAACTAAATTGACTCTGAGCCATACAATGAGTATAAATTGCTTGTGGGTGTTGAATTTGTAATTTGGCTTGAACACCATTTCTTTTACCAGACATGGCACTAGCCCCATCATAAGACTGTGCTAAAATAGGAATATCTTTTAAATTTAATTTGTCCAAAAATTTAAAAATAGTTTGAACAAGGGTTTCTGAATCTTGCTTTTCAGATACTTCAATAAACGCCAAAAATCTTTCAAATACTTCTAGACCTTTTGTATATCTAACACAAATAGACATAAATTCTTGTTTATGGCACCTAAAATTTAATAAAATTATGTTTAAAAATTAATGTAATAACAAAATTTATTAACATACCTAGCCATCATCCACCATGATAACAAAAAATCCAGTTTTTTACAGTTGGAAAATTTCTTTTTTTACTTCATCTGAACAAATATTTACTAATTTTGTACATCAGGACTACATAAATTGTATTTGGTTTCAAATTTTCTTTTAAAAATTTGGTCATGTTTGGATAATATTTTGCACATTGTGTTTTCATTTCTATTTTTAAAACTAAACGTTTAGTGATTAAGAAATGATTATTAAATAGTAATTATCGTACGAACAGCTGCTGGGTTGTTAGGTTAGATTCGGCGATAACAATAACATTCTTTTCACTGCACGGCGTAGAGCATCATATGTTTTCGATAATCAGCGAAGGCCGGTAGTTAGTGTAACAAAATATATGATTAGTAATACTATTTTTAATTTTACGTTATTTTAAAAGCATAGACTATTAGAATTAGATAAAAGAAGACTAACCTAACGTAGGGGAACTGAACCACTAATTGGGGGGACTATAGTCTCCCTAGTCCCCCCTCATCCTACGCTCATAAAGTGCACCGAATTATTCTAGTGATTTAAAAAATTAAATTACTACCTACATATTATGATATGGCTAATTTCATACTAAAAGATTCACTACGAGCAACTTGTTCACGTGATATCATTCTTTTTAGTCACTTCTTGACATGATTTCTGTTCAGACACTCTTCGATCTAACTGCCCAAGAGATCGACTTTTTCCTTGAATTCATCTTTTAATCGAAAACATTTGTATTTATGATTAACTTGCGACTTAGTTCCAAGTCATTGCTGTAAAATCTACGTCATAATACTAATTTATAATAAATGCATACAATCCTAAAAAACACATTTAACAGAGTCAAATTTTGGTATATCTATCAACCGAGTTCTCAAGTTCAAATGATGCTCATGTTTATGTTGCATGTAAAACTTTTTGGTACGTAATTTGGAATTAATGCTGGGATAAACCCTTTTTTATTGGTGGTCTTACCTCTGGTTTTGTAGGTTTGTACAGTTTTGTTGAATGTAAAAGAAAACACTTCGTTAATGTGTCACAAACTTTTATTGACACACACAATATGAACACACAGGGGTGCCCGAAGGAAATCAGCTCAGTGGGTGCAAATTGAAATGCATGTTGTGTGTTTTACATATATTTAAATTATTATAAAAACAACTCCAAATTTAATGCAAAAAATGTTTAATAATATTAATTATACCTAATACAATACATAGGTACCTATTATAAATTATTAATAATATTATATGAATTGAGAATCAAATAGTAATGCTAAACGTCTGACATTTAGTCCAAAATGATTCATAACATCGGTTTTGTGATTTTCAAAAAAAATGTTTCGTTAAATCTATTTTTGTGAATGTGAATTAGAGCCAAACTGCTTAACCTCATATTGGACATTGTAGATCTTACCCATGTCTTGATACGACTCAAAGCACTAAAATAGATAATAATTATAATCAATATTAAATAATTAATACAAAATATGATTTATAATAATATGTTAGGTACCTAAAGGTTCTTTCAACTGAACAGGAAGTTGCTGGTAATGTAATGGCTATTTGTAAAGCTGTATTTACAGCAGGATAGTATTTAGATTCTTCTAGTAAATCAATTATTTGTGTATTTGGATCACATGGTTTTTTTAGCCGTATTTCATACCAAGTTATTGCTTCTTCTTCAAAATTATCAAGAAGAGGTCCATATAAGTTATTGATAGATTTAACTACTTCACTGAACTCTTCATTTTTTTTGGATGTAAATTAAATAATGAAAATGATTTTAAATTTTCATCAGAGAATCTATCTTTAATTGACATTATCGTGGAATCTAAGTAGGGAATAAATAAAGATTGTCTAAAAACGTCATTAATATTATTATTCGGATAATTATCTCGTTGTGTTTGCCTGATAACTCTTCGTGGTATTTTTAACTCAAGACCAATTTTAATTGCAGTTTCTTCTGCTTTTTTGAATATTAAGTTAAATTGACACTCATTGTTACATCTGTCATTTTTTATAATCTGTAAAAGCTCTTGAATGCGTTTTGTGGCTTCTTGTAAATCAATATTCACACCCTGAAGAATAGTAGATATAAATTTAAATTTGGCAGAATACTTTGCTATAATTGATAATAAAATAACAAAATTTGGAGTAGTAATTGCATTTAGAATTTCAAGGCTTCGTTGCTTAGTTTTACTGTTCAAATGTTTTGATGTTGACATTTCTTCTAAACCTTCTACAATAACAATATACTTTTCATTAAATTGTCTTACACTCTTATGCTTCTCTACAAATTGTGCTTCACACAGTTTGGTTAATTTACAATTACTAGAATTAATTACATTCATGTGAACTGCACTTTCTTTAAAAAATGTTATAGTGTCCTTTATTTTGGTAATACAATTTCTAACTTCAGGCAAGACATTTAAATCATTGATGACTAAATTAAGGCGATGACTAGGGCAATGAAAAAAATGGGCTCTAGGACACATACCCTTAATTCTCTTTTGTACTCCAGATATACATCCAGCCATAGTGGCATACCCATCATAGCATTGACCCACACATTTGTTTAAATCTAATTTCATATGATTACATGCTTCTATTATTGTTGTAGAAATGAACTCGGCATCAAATTCTTTTAAAGGATAAAACCCAATCAATTCTTCATGCAAATTGTTATCTTTCAAAAATCATATACAAATGGATAACTGTTCAATATGTCACGGTCGTTATTGCAACGATCGCGGCGTCTCTATCGACGTCCGCGAGATTGCGACCGACAACCGGTCTGGCCGCCGGCCTGGCCAGCGACGGACGACGGAATCAGCTTTTGCCTGACCGTAGTCGCCGCAACTTATTAAGATACTTAATTGTTTTAATACAAAATAAACATAAGTATTAATCAACGTGTCATTTTATTATTATCCTCAAATCCGTTCCAACACCTACATTGGCGCAGTTGGAAAAGGAGTAAGGTAAGTGCTAATTTTAATAAAAATAATTTTACGTAAATTAAATTTAAATTAGCACATATCGGGTTAAGAGAACCTACAATAGGTGTCCTGATCATACCGGTTCCTAATATTTTTTATTCTGCTTTTTTATTATAAATAAAATATTAAAGGCTTGTCCAATCTAAGGTGGTAAATTGTAGTAAAATTTGCTTAATTTAGCGTAATTCCTACAGTGCTAAACTTGGTTTAGGCTAATTATAGATTGGAAAGTACATATCTCTACCAGCGATAGCCTGAGTTACGTAATTTCGTATCCATCGTAATTTTATTATATAGATAGAAATTAAAATTTAATCTCCACAATGGTTACTAAACGCATTACTGAGTTAAATATTGTCGATATTGACAAGGAATTATCGAAACGTGGTATTCAGACCGGGGGGTCTAAGGCCGATAAACCGATAAGGCATTAGAAGAGTATATTAGAGCTAAGGAAAATATGGATCCAGGATCAGTACGGTTTGGGGAAACTGACGAGACGTCAGCCCAGGTACCGGAAGGGAAAACATCGGAGACTCAAACTGGGGAGGATGAGGTCGATTCTGAAAAGAGTTTGATAAACCAGTTCATAGAGCAGATGTTAGATAGGCTGGAGGGGTTGGAAACAATGGTCGACAAGCAGCAACTGACAATCACTACTCTCAGCGATTTAGTACTCTCTCACTACTTGCAATTTACTAATATAATATTAATATATAATGTTAAAATAAAACTTTCAAAATTGTTTTTTTTTTTTTTTTTTAATGTAGGTACTCACTTCAGAGTCATAATTCAATAAACATGCATTGCATATTTATTGATTGACTATGTACATTTTAACTTTTTATATGAGTATATAACTGTAATGACTATTGATGTTGTAATTCAATACATTCAATTTTAGATTATATTAGATAAACCTTAACTATAAAAAGAAGAATGATCATTTATTGATTTCAATAGATTTACAACTTCAACACTATTTATTGGATTAATAAAAATGGAATCTACAATATCACACTTGTTGTTAAGATATTCAAAAGACTAAATGTTAAAACCAGATGATTTACTATTATTTTTATGGTAGCTCCAAAATTAATAAAATATTTATTAAATATATTGCAAATTTCCTCTTTTGAAAGTAATTAAATTACCAGAATTATCTCTTATTTGATTGATTGTCTTGAAGGGGTTGAAGTATCTTGAAAATCTTTGAAACATGACGAAGTCGAGCCGATCGCGCTAAACGGCCTGAGCTCAGACGAATCGTCTTCCGATTCGCTATTATTGTGAGGCTCAGACATATTTTCGATACAGAGCCGTTCCTGGGACATCGAGTCGATTGCGCTCGACAGCCTGGACTCAAACGAAGTTAATAGCGACGGATTTAACATTTCGTCGTCCGATGAAATCGATGGAAGGTCGCTCTGATTGCTAGCATCAGTCGAATAGCACCATTCATTGATATATTTTTAACTCTGAAGTCCGATCTTTTTCTATATATTGTGTATAGCAATGTTTGAAAATCGATTCTGATTTCTGGCCGAATGAATTTCTGAAATGATTTTTTATAATTTTTAATTTTGAAAAGAACCTTTCAGCGGTTGCTTCAGTTACTGGCAGTGATAAAAATATTATATAAAATGTCAGGGTAATATGTTGCAATATCATTGTATAGTACGAAATTAGCCATATCATATGTAGGTAGTAATTTAATTTTTGTTTTTTATTAATTCTTTAAATCACTAGAATAATTCGGTGCACTTGGGTAGTTGAGGTAACTCAGATCGGTGGATATCGCAAATCCCTATTAAAACTCCAACAAATACCTACTATTATTTATAATACCTACATATAGATCTTATCATTGTTTTAGTACAAACATTTTCAGATTCATTTTATTACAGAGTACCTTATGATTCATGACAACAAAATATAAGGATACTCAGTATGAAGTTCCTATTATAATAATGGACACATACATTATGTTAGTCGTTTTCCTGGAGCATTAGCCCAACTGCCAGAGTGGATGTAGTGACACTAGAGGGTACAATAAGTAGGGAGGAGCCAAAAAATGTTGGAACACTTAAGGCGGTATTCCACTAACACCGTGTTCCGTGTTGGCCGTGTAGACCGTGTGATATCCAATGATATGATTGGATAGTTAATTTCATAACCGTAATTTGGATACCATGATATTCCACGTTACCACTTGTTACCATAAAGTTGAATTATTTCAACTTTTCACCGTGTGGTTATTGTTGGTATAATATCTAATATGATTTTTCGTTTATTTATTTATAATAATTTTTATTATCTTATCTTGATAATAACTAAATTTAACTTTTAATTTCAGTACAATTTATTATTCTAGTAAAGTTATAACTTGTAATAGTTGTTGTTTTATAATTTAATATTTAATAATGGCTGTCGTTGTAAGTAGTTATTGAAAAGTATTTTTATTATTTGTTTAAAAAAATCAAAATGGTTCTATAATATTTTTTGCTTTAAAAAGGGAAAAATATGTGTTGCTTGCAAAAACTTCATTCCGAATTCGGTTAAAAGCCACACATGTCAACGAAGTAAGTATTTACTTATATAGTATCAATAATAATTATAAAATACACGTATAAAAATAAAATGTCCATATTATGGTATACTGTATAGGTAGTGTATGGTACTATAGTATACAACAGTATCAAACATTACATGCCCAGATTCATATAATAATAATAATAATATAAAATATTCTAAGCTGTAAACTTCAAGTGTATTTATTTTGTTATTATTATTTTAATCTGTTTATTTAATATGTTATGGAATATGGACCATGGACTATGCATTGATTCAACTATAAATAATATTTTTTAAATGCATTTTTTAAGATATCCAACCAAATTCCTTTGAATGTAATATACTTGGCAAATTGGATACTGAAATAGAACAAGTTGGAATAAATGATACTGAAGAATGTGAAAATACTGTGTTAACTCAAAGTATAATATTTTCAAATAAGTTTAAAATTTAAAACAATTAATTATGTCAGTATGATTATTTTGTTTAAGAATCAATTGTTGATCTTATAGGTACTCAGCATGCACAAGATTTTACTTTTGAACAGGTGTTGATATCATGTTTGCAAGATCGTCGCCCATTATGGGATTACAAGATGCCTGTAAATCAAAGATCTAAAGGAATAAAAAATAAACTATGGTCTGAAATTCATAAAGAATTGAACTGTAATTTTTTAATATTTAATAATCAAAAGTCATAAATTATAGTTGCTGTTTATAATTTAGACAAATATGATATAAAGACATTAGAAAATAAATGGAAATATTTGAAAGAAGAATATACAAGGCGTAAAAATTCTAAAAAAAGTGGTTCTGGTTCATCAAAAGAGTGGCATCATATGAGACAACTGAGATTTCTTGATGATATTGTTACCTATAAACCGTTAGTATTAAAACAAAAGTTTTTCTAGTCAATGATGTGTTTATTATTTGTTATTAATACCATTAATTTATTTTTAGAACTACAAGTAATGTTAACGAACATAGTGTTGCTGCTTTGGAATCTGATAGTCCTGATGTACCACCATTGGCAGAAACAAAAAAAAGTAATATTCTTCAAAACTTGTTTAATAGTTCTTAGTGCCTTAGTGACCATATTTGTATACTTATATTGTTAAATGTTATATATTTTCTAGGAAGATGTTCTCAAGATAATATTTCAATATTATTGAGTGAATTAAAATCTACTAGACCAAAAACTCCACCACCACCTCCAGCCACAACAAGTGATGAAAAATTTGCTGATTATTTATGCAGTATTATGGAACATCTTCCAAAAGCGAAGAAACTTAAATTACAGGCAAAATTCATAAATGATGTTCTAAATGAATCTGAAATATAACCCAATTGTATTACCTAATCATATTATTTATGCTAGTAGTTGCGATTTTGTTGAAAATTAATAGCACCAAGTCCATTAAAATGTTTTTTTAGTTTCTCTCTAACAATTTTGGCTTCTGCACTATAAGAGTTTGAACCTTGTTGACCTATGGGAGTTAATGCTTTGGTTATATCATTTCTCCATTGTCCTCTTATAAGTCTTCCATTTTCGTATCTATCAACTAATGAAACTGGACAGTACAGAGATTCGCCTAAGAAACGAACAATTATTTACCATAAAATAGGTTTGTTAAATTAGTTTAAACTAAACATTCTTATTAAGATGAACAATTTTTAATAATGTTAACATTTTCTAATTACAAATTTTAATAAAACATTAGTACCTGTAGTTTTTTCATATATTCTAACAAAATTGTGTAAGACAACTGCAGCTTTGGTTATTGCTATAACAGTTTTCTCACTTCCTATTATAGGTGATCGAAATACTCTCCATTTGCTAGCTAATATACCGAAGGCATTTTCGATAGTACGCCTTGCACGGCTAAGTCTAATAATTAAATTGATTTCTTTATATATTTAAATTTAACATCTTTTATATGAATACTTTTTAGTTTTTAGTTGTTACCTATAGTTAAAAATGGTTTGATCTTCAGGTAAATTTCCTTTTGATCTACCTGGATATGGTCTCATAACATTTGTTAATAAAGGAAATGCTTCATCAGCAACAACACAATATGGTATGGGACCATTTTCATCATCAATTTCAATAGCATCAGGAAAATCAATTGTTCTATTAATTATTTGTTTACCCCAATTACAATTTCTAAAAACACCACCATCACTACATCTGCCTGGAGCTCCTATGTCAACTAAAGTGAAGCAATATGATGCATCGCAAACAGCTAAAAGAATAATACTATGGGTCCCTTTATAGTTGTAGTTAGTAGATCCACTGTTTGCAAATGCCTATTAAATTAATAACTATTGTTAAATAAATATACCAGTTATGTGTACTTTAAAATATATAATTTTAGAATCCGCACCTGATGAACAACATGTTTGCCATCAATACTCCCAACACAATTTGGAAAATTCCACTTCATATTAAATTCATTGGCTATAGATATCCAATTTTCAGTTTGTGGTTTCATTAGTACCTTAAAATAATGAAGTCAATATGTTTAAAATTTAAAGTAATTTACTTGATTATAGACACATGTAAATATTTTAAAAAATAATTCCAAGTAACTACTTTATTGCATAAAATATCCCATAAAGTTGTACAGCATTGTCTAATAAGTTTTGAAACTGTAGGTTGTGCTATTCTAAAGGCATAACCTATATCCATCATACTGTCACCAGAGGCCAAATATCTACAAGATAAAACAATGTACCAGTTTCTATCAGATTAAACTTTAAAAATTTGCTTGAAAAGTACCTTGATTAGAATACATTTTCAATATGAGTAATTTACCTAAGAGTACATGTTAAAAGTTCACCAACTGATAATATATCAGGCCGAGATGGTACACGCTGTATACTTGGACCAATCAGTTGAACCAAGTGTTCAAAACATATTGAGCTCATTCTAAGAAAATTATAATACATAGCAGAATTTGATAGTTGAAACTCTGCTAATAGACAGTGGTAATGTCCATGAGTTTTTCTTTCATTAAATATTGGACGTACGTGCCACCTATTTGTTTTTCTACTATGGAACAAAATATAAAACAATTTAGGACAGAATATTAATGTCACTACTTTAAATAACCAAACCTATGGTAATTAAAAGACTAGGATAAAATAATTTTAAAAAGTATTTAGAATAAATACTCATGAGTCATGAAGAATTGAAAAATAAGTGGGTATTTGAATACTCCATTAAATTAGTATAAGATTGAAAAGTAAGAGTCTCAAGCATCCATTAAATACATATATATGTTACAAGTACTATAACATTTTTTGGGGAGACATCTAACTACTTCAGTACTTCAGCAGTAATTAGGTCATAGCCCAGCCGCCCAGGGACTTATTTAAGGTGTATTTTTGGATAGCCTGTTTGACTTCATTGAGTGTGAAGTGGTAGTAGTGAATTAAACAAATTGTGTTTGTATGTTATATAAATATAGTAATTTATGATTTAAAACACAGAAATAAATATCTGCTATTAAAAAAAAAAATAATGTTTTTACGATTGAAGTATATAGAATACAGCATAAATAAATGCTTTTAGTATTTTACAATACCTATTACTATTGTATTGAGAATACTAATGAAGTCTGCGAACTTATTTATTACTACCTTGTATGATGTAATTCTTCTAAAATAGCAGTTATTATTATTATTTTTCTTTTATGCAATTTTAATTGCTTGTGATACATTTCTATTTCCATATCATATTTCCATTTAGACATACCTATTAAATATTGACTATTATTAATGGATAAAAAAAATATATATTAGGTACTATGTGTAAATACTAAATACTTATTACTAAGTCAGTTAAGTTTAAGTCGTTTAACGTTTAACGTAACAGTAAGTTCGGATTTAGGAAAGGCGTAGTAGGTATTTAAAAATTATCAACAAAAATAACATCATTTTTTTTTCTTATC